TATAATTGTTTCTAAAAACTAGTCTCTACATAATAGGTACTTTCTGTGGACTGGTTAATTTCAACTTATTTGAAAACAGAATATACATACTTGTTTTCTTAGTTTTAATTGTGTACCACTGAATCAGTGGTAAAGTTTTAAAATGACTGGTTTCCTTCGTGATTGTGATATGCTTCTGCATGAAAGTGAGCTATGTAAATTGATGCTACTTATGTTGTTTATTTGTTTGTACAATTAAAAACTACTATGGTCTAAATTTGAATGTATTTTTAATTTAGCTTGGTGTCATCATACCTAACTTTCTTCGTACATTATTCATATTTTTTTCACAAGGTAATCTGTCTAATAATTTTACTCGTAAAGTAATAGATATTATTCAGAGTTCCTCGGCATGAGCCAAGATAGGCCCATGTAATATAGGAAACTATAATTAATTATGAACCTGTACTTCAGATTCCAAATACCATTAATACATAAATCAAGTAAATATTAGATACTTAACAGCATTGCATTTAGTAGTTCATGACATGGACAAGTACCTGGAGCACTAAATGACAGCTTCAGGGTGGACTTCAAGGGTCTCTGTGGTACTGGTGAAATAAATGAACGACCCCACCGTCCTTAGCACCGCTGGGGCTAGGGCAGGACGGGCCGGGCTGACTCGCGGCCACGCCGAGGAGCGGCTGCAGGGCGTGAAGATCTTGCTGCTGTACCATGGCCCCCGCCTGGCCTCGCCTGTTCTGGGCGCGCGCGGCGCCGGCACGGCGGGCCGAGGTGCTGCTGCAGGGCGTGAAGATCTTGCAGGTGTACCATGGCCCGCACCTGACCTCGCCTGACCTGGGCGCGGGCGGCGCCGGGTGCCGGCACGGCGGGCCGAGGTGCTGCTGCAGGACGTTATCATCTTGCTGTTGTACTTGACCTTGACCTTGCCGGGGCGCGGGCATGGCGCGCCGAGGAGCTGCTGCACGACGTGATCATCTTGTTGCTGCACCTGGCCTCGCCTGGCCGGGGCGCGGGCCGAGGAGATGCTGCAGGACGTTATCATCTTGCTGTTGTACTTGACCTTACCGATGCTCAGCGCTCTGCTCTTTCTCGTTGCTTGGCGTTGACCGCGGTGATGACCTCTGCACAAGAGTTGCCTATGCGGCAGGCGCTCCCTCTCACAGATGCTATAGCTTAAAACCCGCTCCAATCTTACCGCATTCCCTCTCCAATCCCTTTCCAATCCCTCCAATCCCTTTCCAATCCTTCCAATCCCTCTCCAATCTCGTTCCAATCCCTCCAATCCCTCCAATCCCTCCAATCCCTCCCCAATCCCACAAATCCACCAATCTCTTTCCAATCTTTCAATCTCCAATCCCTGTACACGATTTAAGAGAGTGGTGTACCCCCGCCCGTCCGCCCACCCCACCACCCCTTCTCGTTATCGGTATGACCTCGGACCGCTCGTCTATTTGCGGGATTTTTAATGCTGGGTGTTCCTTTTTTTAGTTTTACTTTTGGGTCTTCCCTAATCCCTATCGCTCCGCTGACCAGCAGACTGAGGATTTTGTTGGGAGGAAATAATCCTAAAACTAACAAAAATATTAACACACACTGTAAAGGATATACTCGTAAATTTTACAACATTATTTGTTGTAATTTTTATTTGCAAAATATGTTGTAAATTTGTGACGGCCCTTATTTGCTTGTCGATTAATAAATTCGATACGAAGTGCTTGAAAATTTACAATTTTGGGGTAAAATGTACGACACCTTCTATGGAAAATTTTCCTGCACCTGGTACAACGATTTCTCACAGTGCGTCGAGAAGTGCGAGGCTGTGAATAATGGGTGAATGTCCCACAGGCCAGATGCTTTAGCAGTGTTTGCCAGATCCCAGCCGCTATGGCGATAAAAAGATGCACCCGGCCAGAAGCAATTAAAGGACTGGTTAAGGCTAGCCCACGTCCGCGACATGCAGCGACATGCATACCCAGCCTCAGCCTCTCTCCCTCTCTCTCAGACACGCACACATCCTAAGCACTGGGTTGCAGAGTCAAGCTGTCAAGTTAAGACCTGCATTTTTTGCACATCTCGCCTAAATGCAACCGTGTTTAAGATGGCGAATTCGCACCTCTTCCATGGACAAAAAAATAATTTTTCCACTCATATAGAATGCAAATTTGTTTACTTGCAAGATAAAGAATTAGGAACTGCTTAAGATGTGCACAAAAATGCATTTTTTCCGGAATCAAAAGTGGCAGTTTAGATTTAGAATGCAGGCTAATCATTAATGGTAATCTCTGGTAATCTTTGGTGATCTTTGGTAATCCTTACAATTTGGTAATCTGGTGTACACATTTCTATAGAGTTATGGGCACCCCTCGGCCCTCATAATACCCAATCATGAAACCTGATCTGATAAAACTACGTGAAGACGTGACGATGTCAGTGGTATAAACCTATATCGCTTAAAAGTTGGTGAATGCCTATCTTGTATTGCCTGGTTTTACAATAAATGATTGTTACGCTTTTGGTAGAGGCGCGAATAATACTTGATATTCATTGTATAGTCAATCAGGCGAGCCAGCCAACACTCGCACCATTAGTGTGAAGCTCTGCAACATTTCGCTAAAGCGTACCCTTTTCATGCTACACGTCTCCCGTCTCCTCTTCCCCGCTCGCTTTCGCCTCGCGCATTTTTCCAGCGATTAATATTTTTCTGAGAAGGCAAACAGTCGAGCAGCGCCGCTCGCTCGGACCATTGTGTCGCGAGCGGAGGGTTAAGCCCCAATCAGCGAGAGGGAGTGAGAGGGGAGAGGAGAGAGGGAGAGAGGGGGGAGAGAAGGGGTACGCAAACTGCGGGAGCACGCTCCGGAGACATCATGGGAGGGGGAGGCGCTAACAGGTCTAGCGTCGACATGCAAATTCACCCGCCCTGATTATGGGCAGAGGGAGGGAGGGGGATGGAGCAGGTGAGGCGGAGAGAGAGAGGGAGCGAGAGAGGGAGCGAGAGAGAGAGAGAGAGAGAGCGAGAGAGAGAGAGAGAAGGGAGAGCAGCAGAATGGCCCACGCTACAATCGCACTCAAATCACAGGCCTATTTATCTCCGAGGCGCGCTCCCCACGCCTCCTTTCACGCCGGGGAGAAAAAAAGTTCAACCATTTTACGGGGGGATTGCGCGCGCGCGAGCTAGAAAATCTCCTTTTGTTCCCATCGACGCGTCGCAGGTCCACCAACCAGTGACGAGCTGGCTGGGCTCGTGGAGCGAGCTAGCGCTGAGCGCTGAGGTGTCAGCCTGGGGGGTAGGCAACGCGGGCACACCGGCGCCCGGCGGGCAGGTATCTTCCGGCCGCCGGGCGCTCCGGGCCGGGAGCGGGAGCTAGCTCGCATCCGGCTGCGAGAGGCAGACCGACACGGAGTCGGCGTGAGTGCGGAGGGACGATAGTGCGTTTGGTCCCCCCCCCCCCTATAGTCTCTCTCTCTCTCTCTCTCTCTCTCTCTCTCTCTCTCTCTCTCTC